TTTCTGGGAATTTGGTTACACAGTATTAACCTTGAAGAGATGTCTCATGTCATCATCTCCAGGTTTCACAAATAATCAAATAACACAGGGCTTAAACCAGCTTCAAAATTTCAGACAGTGGCATAGGGCCATTTCATCACGGCTGTTGTGGGTTCTGGACTTAATTACACTAAATCAACTCCATTTCAAGATGTCCATCTCAGGAAATCAGTAACAGAGTATCAAAGACTAAACGTAGATCATTTAAAGCACAGCTTATAAATGTTGGTACCTATAAACACTGTATGTTTTTACCTTTACTAGGTATCATGGATCAGGTTTTGCTTGTGCATTTGGATTTACGGCGCACCAAATTTAAAACACCACACACTGCGAAGACAGAACCGAAGCCGAACATATTCAAATCAAGGTGTCACTGATAATGAAGTCGCTAATTCAAATTGAAAATGTTCGGTAGTCGGCTTTGATATTAGCCCCGAGGAAGAGAAGTCAGGTCCGTCTGCCTCCAAATGTGCTCCTCATCGATAATTTCTCATTTTCAGAGCCGATGCAACTTAATCGCAGCCAATTATAAGCATGAATTCTTCTCTCGATTTCTCATTCAGAAAGCAGCTCTGCTTTAATCTGCAGTAATTGCCCATGTCAGGTTGACTAACAGATTTATTCAAAGTAATTTAGCGGCAACTCCGCATGACAATAAAGAGCTCATTCCATCTCAAGGTATTTAATTCTCAAAGTAGAACAGCAGGAAAGGGTTGAGTACAGAGGTTGTTAAAATAAGATTTAAACACGGTGTAATACTTGAGGAAAAAAAAAAAGGAAAATCATGATGTACTAAACGAAGGATAATTCATCAATGTCTATATAGATGAATAAACACACTTTACATTGAAATGGTCAGAAAACGTAGCTTTTTGCAGATTTTTCAGCTTCTGACCTGCAGGCCACCTGATCAAAGCAGATCCAGGAGAAAGTCTGAAAAAAATCTCCAATTTTATTAAGTGAGGTTCTAGTTCTGAATTAGTATGAAGAAATAGAAACAGAATATAGAAACATATTTAGATTTTCTGATTATTACAGACAGCATCACATTGTCTGAAAGATGCATCAGTTCCTCCAAATGTTTTCCCATCCAATAAACTATCTATTCATCATAGAGTCTTTGGTTTATGCAGCTGCCAGACTTTCCAGTGTAGATTACTATATGCCATAAATTCATAGCACTTCATTACTTCAACATAGGTTAAAAAGGACAGAGAGGAATTGGATCTTTACAAAAACAAAATATGTAGGAATCCCAGCAAATTGTCCAATTAAAATCTCTTCAGTGCATAGATAAAAAAAAACAAAAAAAAAACAAAACAAAAAAACAGAACATGCATAAATTTGCTGTTGTACGCTTCATCAAAAGATCTAAAAAAAATTTAGTCTTTTGGGCAACATCTCTTCCCAGTTTTCCATGTTGACAAAGAGACATCATTTATCCCAGAATCCAGCCTTAAAAAACGCTGCAGCTGTCTTAATTTTTAGCCTGCACACATCAAGTTGGCATCATCTGAAAGTTTTCTAAATGCCTGCTTGCTTTGACATGCAACTCTCCAGAAAATGTTGCAAAGAGACACACAAAATGCAAAGAGAAATACGAATCTTAGGGCACATTATTCAGTCTTCATCCAGTTGTGCGCTGCAGGCAATCTGCAACAAGGATGCTGATCTGTTGCTGCCCGTGACCTCTGACCTCCCCTGCTACAGAGCCCGCCTAAAGGGATTAATACATGTCACACAGCCGTCCATGATGAGCAAAAAGGAAAAAAAGGAAAAAAAACAAACATAAATCCTCAGCTAACTTATGCAGCAAAGAGGAGAAATAACTCATGGCTTATCCATCAACCCACCCGCAGCTCACCGACATGTTGGAAGAGGCTCAACTGAAGCTCAATCAAAAACCGAGTCAGGGTCAGAATATGAGGAAAACAAGCATGTTTGATTGGAAATAAGGAAAAAGACAGACAGAATAGGAAAACAAGGAACGCAGGCAGGAGAAACTCCAAAAGCTTGATCCATTAACCTACTTTGACGCACCAGGCTGACTGAAGGCGCTGCAGGTTGACAGGAACACGGTTCCAAAAATATAAACAAGGCGAAGCAAACCCATAGACGGGTTGACTCAAACATTAAAGCAAACAAACACACCTGAAATGGACGCTTCACAAGGGAGAAAAAAAATCAGCACGCCGCTGCCTGCCGCGGCGCGTAAAGGACAGGTAAGACGGAGCAACACGCTGCTGAAATGATGACGTTCCCTGCTAGGTTGATTAACGCCAGCGTGCTTTTTAGAGACGAAACGACTAAGTAAAAACATACAACTCACCCTTATGGCTTTGAATGTTAAGTCCTGAGCGCAGATTGTCTGGGAAGAGGCGAGGCGGAGGTTCAGTGTTGCCGCCTGTCAGTGAAGAAGGTGGAGTTAGAGGTTTACTCCAACACAACAGAAGCCGCCTGTCAGCTACAACACCCAGGCTGCCGGGATAGGGTGACACCTGCTGGTCAACAGCTGTATTACAACATCAAAAGCAGCCAGTTTGTCTTCAATTTTGATCTTTTAATTACAGATTTTATTTGGGGTTTGAGCTGAAGATTTATGCTTTTCAAACTGATGGATTCTAATTCAGTCCAAGAAGTGTCTTACATTTGTTTTGTTTACATTATGTTTCCTCTGAATGTCTTTTTCTTAAATGTGTTATTTTGTTTACAAAGATCCATTAATCAAACGTGTTTTAGTCCATTTTCAAATTTTTTTTTTTTAGTTAGATCGGATCTGTTTTGACTCATTATTTAAAGGAATATAATGTATTCAGTTAATTTTTTTATAAAGCAATGTAACCCGATTAAATACAAAATGTAGTTTTTATATTAGGATTTTATGAGGTGGAAAAAAACGATCCCAACCAGCCTGCAGCTACTGTATGTGTAAAAGTCACTGCCCCATGTTTAAATTGATGAATTGATTTTGACTAGCCACATTTTGTGGTTTACCTTTTTTATGCACACCAAAGCCTGATTGCTATCAGACTTGTGTAATTATAAAACTTCTTAATCTGATTGACAACATCAAGGCTACAAGATCTTAAAATGTGATGCATCTGGCCCTGATCTAAAAACATTCAAGAATATACTTCATTGGCATCTACTAGCGTGAAAATAGTTACAAAGTCATTTCTAAGGCTTTGAGACTCCAGTGAACCACACTTGGCCCTTTTTCACTAGTTGTTACCTCTACAGCGTGACTCAACTCCGCTCATCTCTATATGGTTCAGATGGTTTTCCATTACAATTTATAGTGGGTGGGGTTGTCTTGTACTTGGGCAAGTCCTGAGTCTAAGAATCGCGAAGTGATCTGTACGCAACATAAACACAACAATGTGAACACGGAAGCTATGTTGAACAGTCTGCCGGTCTTTATGTCTGACTCGAAAAGGAAGATGAAGAGAAGAACAGGAGACTGTGATAAAACCAGTGACTCCGCCCTGAGCCAATCATTGATCGACTGCATTCTGAAGTCACGTTTTCAGCCTGACTCGTACACTTGGATCCCCAATGAAGTAGGTACTAAAAAACAAGCCGGTGCCACGTACCTGTTATGGAAAACAATCATAAGTGAGTAGAGCTGAATCGAGCTGCTCTGAGTAGATGTTGGGAAAAGGACCAAGAGCCGTTATGGATAAATGGAGAAAATATGAATCAATGAAGAAACTTCCCCAGAAGTGGCCAACCTTCCAAATTTAATCCAAGAGGGCACCAATGAATCACCAACTCACAAAAAAAAAACAAGAACAACATCTCTAATACCACAGGCAATACTTGCCTTGTTTAAAGTATAAAAAAAAACTGGGTTGAAATAACATAACAGGGATAATCACAAACCAAAGATCATCATACCTACAGTCAGACATTATTGGTGGTAATATGATGGTTTGAGGTTTGATGACTTTCCATAACACAATGAAGTCTACCAGAAAATCCAGTGTGGCATGTTGCTTTATATTTACAATATCAGCTGCAATGGTTGTTGTCACCAGCAGCTCATAAAAATCATGACTAAGTTTATCATCAAATCTATTTTCCACCAATGAACCGGAAAAAGTCGCCCATAACTAGTCTAAAGTCCACCTCATAATAAAATTACTTCAAGTTATTAAATAGTTTGAGTAAAAAGTACGCTAAAGATGCAGTTCATGTTTTAGTAAAGCTTTGTATTCAAATAGATTTTATTTGTCTTTCAGTTCTTAAATTAGCCAAATTAAATGTCTGATCTGATTGTTACATAATTTGTGCTGGCAAATTCTAATTTTGCTCAAGTTTTCTGCCGGGATTCCTCTTGGATGGTTCTCAGCTGGATAAAGTACAAAACAAAACAAAACATGAAAATTGTTTTTCTCTTTCAATGTCCTTTATTCAATGTTTGTCTTCATGGCTGCACTTCTGTTATTATTCCTTTACAGCCTCTATGATCACATAATCATGGCCACCGCCTGCCGTGGTTTTAGAGCCCTCACTAGTGACGCATTCATATGATTCAATGATCATTAGTCTTCCAGTAACTTTTTTTAAGGATAAAGTAAATTATTAATCTGATTTTATGAGAATATAAAGAACAGGACTTTGAATCCAAGACAAGAAACATATCAATAAAAGCAGCTTCAAAGTGCATCTTACTTTAAAATGTTTTATTTTTTTTAATGTTATGAAGTCAAAGTAACAGCATCCTTTCTCTTATTCCTGAATAAGAAAATCCCTGAATTACACAGAGACCGCTGACATGATCTTTATTTCACACGCTCTTCACTGAAATGACGACGTTATCGTGTTTGGGTGAAATGGTTTCTCCTATGACAACCACCTCAGTCTTTCCTCTTGTCACTCCAAAGGTCGCAGTCATAAACAGGAGATTTTATGACACCCCAATGAGTCCACATTTCACTCCACCCAGGAGAGCTAACCATTGCATAGAGCTCACAGAAGACGGAAAAAGGGTTCCTTTTCCTTTCCCTAAGCTTCAGAGGTGTTTAGCCGAAGAGACGCGTGGATTTTATCAAGAACATCTGGAAAATAGAGAAAAATGCCATCTTTAACAAAGACTCTGTATTTTCTTTTGAGCGGGCTGCTCACTGCCATTTCTATTGGTTTGCTTGGTTTTGCCATGTCAACGACATGGTCTAAAACGACAATGGACTGCGAAGGATCTGGGATCAATGGAACTGCTGGAAGTGCAGAAATAACGATGGGCCTTTTCAATGGAAAGTTAATAAGAGCCTCCTGCCCCAACTTTGGCAGTGAGGATTCATTTTCAGGTAATTATTCTTGGGCTATTAAGGGACATAAGTTGCGTCACACTTGTATCCCTTGAGATGACAAACTATAAAAAAAAAATGGGCTGTATTCTGTAAAAGTTTAAGATCTCACAAGTAGAATCAACTCAAAATAAGTTTCAATCTCATTAGATTATTGTGTATTCTTCAAACACGGATGCATTACAGGACTTACTAGTCTCGTATTTTATGTCTGTCTGCAGTGTTTCCAGCATTGTTAGTCATAGAAGTGACTCCTCGGGTTCTCCACGGTCTGTGTTTGGGCCTGCTGGGTTTGTGCTTCCTGACTTCTGCCCTGAGCATCCTCGTCTCACTCTACAACAGCGTCAGCAACCCTTACGAGACCTACATGGGCCCCAACGGGGTTTACACCTGCTCCTCCATCAGCGGTGAGTGGTGCTACAACAGTATTCACACACCACAAGAGTCTGAGGATCAAATTTTGATTTTATGTTCACAGTAAATAATAGTAAAGTGTTACAGCATAGGTCAAACTCGCATTCGTATTTCACCCCTTTAATCTTGTACCACTGAATAAAATTAAAACATTATCCGAAACTTTGGTTTTTTTCATGTTTAATCAATAATCTAACAAATGAAAGAGGCTGGCACAGCTGCAAACCTATAACAACAAGGCCTTACCTCAAAGCTGACTGGCTGGACGATGAGCGTAATGTGGTGTGGAAGTGGGGAGGAGCATAACACAGGTGGAAGCAAGCCAAAGATGAGAGCATAAAAAACTTTCATAAAAATCTTTAGGCAATGAAAACATAAGTTGAGGAATTATAGGAAAAAGTAACATATGAACATAAATGCTGGGAGGTTGACTCTTGAAATGAAAATCAGGTTCATGATTAGGTCTGGTACTTATTAAAACTTTTAAATTAACAGACCGCAAGAGCAGAATTAATTAAGTTTTTAATCTTTTGTTGTTTTTGGTATCTTAATTATCAAGTGAAGTGATAACAGTGTTTGTCTTTTTATGAATGAAACTGCAGCTGCTCATCTTGACCGAGACAGCAGAAGATATTTTATTATCTCAATGGGACATTTGTGGTTAGAAAATGTAAAAAAGACAGCCAGCTTTAAGTGAAGTAAGTCGGAAAATAGCAGAAGCCAGAAAATATGCTCAGGCCAGTGGGAACAAACCCTGACACAAAAATAAGAAAATACCAAAGAAACGGGAAGTGAATGGAGCAAAACCTGCAACAGGAACTGCACTTTCAAGCTAAACGAGGATCTAAGGCCTACAGAGGGAAACCATGAATAAAGCGACAACCTCAAATTAGAACCTACATGAGAATCATTAAAGACGTGGCGTTGAGTACGTGGAAAAACTTAGCGGGTAGGAATACTTTTGTAATGAACTGCGTCACATCTGGATGATGTGAGGTTGAGCTGAATGCAATCTTTTCTCTCTGCAGCGTTCTCGTCCGTTCTGGTCCTCATCATTTACGTGCTGAACCACATTCTGACCAAAATGCAAGAGGAGTTGGTTCCCAGCATTGCTGAGATTCCAGATACTTCCGTGATGCTGACTCATAAAAGGCTGGAGGTGAAGACTGGGTATTTCCTGCTCATCCCTTACGCGGTGCTCTCTCTGCTGGCCATCTTGCTCGTCTACCTGTACGACCACGCAGCCTACACCCACAGACGGGAACAGGAGAGGCCCACAGAGGACGCCCCTAAGGAGATCATGATGTACTAGCGATAATCACGCCAGTGACACTTTCTCATTTCCTAACGACTTTCTGGGAAAACTTGCTGTGATAGATTATTACCGATCATGGTGGTGTACAGAAAAGAATGAATGCACAGCTTGCTTGATGCACAATGTGCAGGATTTGATTTTATTGCATTCGGTTTTGACATTTTAGAGAGAATGTTTGGTTGCATTTCAGTTTTAAGTTAATTTATCCAAAGTGTGAGAAGCCAAATTAATCATTTTTATTCTATATTTTTCTCATAAAATATTTCACATAATATTTTTCTTTAAAACGTATTTATTTTATATATGAACAATACAATAGTACTTAGTGCAAAGCGATACCTTTCTATCTCTTTCAGAATAAAATAAGAGTCAAATCAGCATCAGCACCGATATTACTAATCAATAATGTGCATGCATCCATTTGCATCTCTTTGGATGAAAGCAATTTCTACCCATTGTTTTTTTTTTTCAGTTTAATATCAAATTATTTTCTAAAGAAAAAAGATCAATTGATCAAAATCACTAACAAAGTAATGATATTCACTGATGTTTGCTGCCCTCTCGCTGAGATATGATGCAATTGCAAGGAGTCAACATCAGTCAAATGCCACTGCCGAGACATTTCCAGATCCTCAGTTTCCTCTGGTTTACCAGCCTTTATATGGAAATATGTTGCACAATTAACATTATTTGGATAAAGAGCCACTGTAACACATCAAAGAAAGACATCTTATCCCTCTAAAGTGAAGGTTGTGACAACAGGGATTTTTTTTTCTTGCACAGTTTGGAATTATTCTGTTAGATATTGTTCTTAGTGCAAATTTGTGCATTAAGCATGTTTAAAACCACCTGAGTGGTTACTGTATATTAATCCTCCTGAGAAACCACTGTTTTTTTGTTGTCACCAATAAGGTCCTGGGATCTTTCTTGATAATGCATGAGCATAATTCACGGAGATAAAGGTTTAAAGGCATCAATTGTAGATCATTTGCTTCTTTCTTGGTCGAAACTCTGTCAGTCCACGTTAACATTGAGCTTCTTTTCCTGCGGACACAGAGACGGGTGAGACGGACATAATTAAACCAAGGCTGGTTCCTGAACCCTGCAACCATTTTCTGCCATTTGGGCATGACAGATTGGGTCTTCCAAAAACACAATTATTCGTCTCTATCAGACTTTGTAGATTACACCGAAGAACCTGCTGGGTCTGTGCAGCCAGTTTTAATGAACCCTACCAACTGTGGTAAAAAGCATGGCTGTACAACCAACCAGAACTAAAACAAACTCTTGTCTTAAAATGAAATGTGCTAGTAATTTGCAACAGGATATAGCCAAATATTACTTGTGGTGTATATATGTATTTAAGCCCGTGTGTATCATTTTGAACCTGTGGATTAAATAAAATGAGAATTGAATTTAAGGCTTCTGAGCCCGATTCTTGCTTTTAATCCTCATAAATCATTAAAAACCCCAAAATGGGACAACGATCAGACCTCGTTTATTAAAGCTGACATCAGGCTTCTGGAACATCCCTATCAAATCCAACCGTTAGGGAGCTACAGCAAACCTATCTGTTCTAATCAGATTGGACCTTTGAAAAGGTATTTCTCTCCTACATTGGATTTTTACCTTTCCAGCTTTAAACATCTGCGATGGGAGGCAAAGTGAAACTTCACATCTTATTTCATTTCAAAGGTAGAAACAAACATTCTCTGCTAACAAACTGCAGTGACAGCAACAAAGCTTGTTGATTCTGTGAAAGCTCAAACAGATCCTGCTATTGTCTCCTGGACCTTCTTCCGCGCTCACAGCTGGGATTCACATGACTGTGTTGACATCAGAGCAACAAGGCCAAGGTGTCCCGTTACCTTTTCCCGTGGCCCATCACTCAGGGACTAAAGTCTGTTTGGACATGCCCTTTCCAGCACCTCTCAGCCCTGCAACGCCTTCTACCTGCCTTCAAAAGAGCTACTCTTCCTTCAAGTTTCACACTTCAAGGAACCTGCAGAGGGATGAAGCAATTTGCTTTGTTGTTGTCAGAGTGAATATGTATTAAATTTCTGGGAACGTCTGTTTTCTACAATAAATCAAGGACATTTATGGTCCGTTCATAGAGGGCAACATCAACCATGTTTTCTGAGGTGTTTTAAGTGTAACCAGTTTGTTAGATATTTTTGTGAATATTTTTATCCTCCATAAATGTGACCTGCTTCAAACTACAATTAATTAATGGAGGTAGCGAAGGTAGCTGATCGGCAGATGTTTTCCTCCAGGGTTTTTTGTTACCTGCGCTCCAGGAGTAATTTATTTGACTGACCACTCATGGAAAAGTTGACCACCATTTCCTGTTTTCTCCATTTGTGGTTTACTGTGGTTTGCTGGAGTCGAAAAACCATTTACACACTGCTCAATACAAATAAAAAAAATTCTGTTAAATTTCTTTAGATCAGGTCTTAAAGAATTGATGTTTTTAACCCCATACATGTTGTCAAACAGTTTTTTTTCTGTTCAGGCCTTGGTATGACTAGTGAAAATGAGTTCAGCTCTCTAAAAGAACAAGCTAAACAAATATTTTATTTATATTGTTCCAGGTCGATTAAACTGGTTTGTAATCTCTTAATAAATAAAACAATCATTCAATTATTGCGTTTTCTTTTTTTTTTTTTTTTATTTATTCAAGTTTTTTTTTGTCAGTTATTAAAATTAGTTTCACCAACAAGCATCTGTGAGACGAGCAGAAGTAGAAAAGAATCTGTATGAGTGACGGGCTTCAAACATGAAAAGCATGTTCAGTAAAATAAAATAAAATCAAAGCCACACATTTAGTTGTAGCCTCTTTTACATGAATTATTGCAACAATGTAGTTAAGGAGCATATCACTTTTCTTCTATCACGCTTTTTCTTTTTCTTCTTCTTATTATTATTATGCTTGTACACATCACTTTGATCAACCATTTTCTTTTGAGGGTTGTCTTTGTTGTGGAAGGTGTCACTGACTGTCTGCTCCATCACTGAAAGAGTTATAACACGGCCACAACACATCATTGTTGCATTAATTGGATTTATGGAATATTGTAGTTTTCAGAGAAATTAAATTTGGTGTTTTCCTTACCTGTAACATTTGAATAACGTTATTCAAACACATAAAAATAAAAAAACTAAATAAAAAAGCACTCGGTACGTTACGCTCTGTGTGACGAGTTTCATGAAATAAATCCAGTTCTCAGTCATTTTCTACTTTTAATCAATGAATACTAAAGAGCAATAGTAAACATAATTTAGCATGACACTATTAAAGCTTACGTTCTGAATACTACCGACAGCATCTGGAGGAGATTTCTGTCTTCTTCTGGGAGCACCGCAGTGCAGACCTCTTGTTTGCTGTGCAAACATTGATTGAATAAAATCAGCGACGGGTCAGTAATCTCTTCCTCCCTGCAAACTCTCCACCTCAGAGATCACCGGGATGGAGAATAAACCAACGGATTAAAGCAGGAGCCCTAAGCCCTGACCATTCACTCTGCATGATAGGATTAAAGTAGGAACTTTTGTACCTGTGAAACCTTATCCTTCCAGGCCCAGCATCACAGAAGCCTGTGAAACGGACACCTCCAGCTGCAGGCCTGATGGAGGACTGCGGTCCAGTTCACCTCCGGGAGCTGATTTCATACCTGTGAGTGGTATGAATAAGTATAATAATGAAAGGTGAGTTTAAAACATACATATAGACATTCTCGGAAATAATAACGCTAATATAGAAACGCTAACAGTGTTACAAATATATATATATATATTTTTTTTAAGGAAAACCACTTTATAAAAATACCTGGGCTTGCATTTCTATGTTTCATATAACCAGTTTATCAAATTGGTAATTAAATATATTTGAACTGCTCCTTCTTAGAGAAAATGTTCACAAAAGCAAATTTTCTCTCATTTTTCATAGTGTTTTATAATACTAGTTATGAGGCTTGGAAAAGTAAAAAGAAAGAGCAAGCAAAGGATCTCATTAAAGAGCAGTTTACAGGAAAGTTATATATTGTACATTAAAAATGGCAAAATACATAAATGACATTATCAAGGTAAAAAGCAGAATAAAAAAGAGAAAAGACATTTAAAATAAAAAAAAATAAAAATATTTCAGAAAAAGAAAGTGGCAAAAATACCAAGAGAAAATAAACCACTACCATCAGTAATATTAGTAATAATATAACAATATTTTTATGTGAAACAAAGTACTTCACATAGGCCTGATATTTACACTTGGGTTTGTAAGTTGTCCATATAATCTAATTTGAATTTCTCTGTTTGCTTGGAGGCGTCTGTATCGCCGTGCTCTCACATTGACTCCAGTGACTGAAATGCAAAGGTAGGCAGGTTCCTTAGTTATCTCCACCATTAATCTAAATTTGTCAGGCAGGGCTGAGGTGAGGGCAGAGGCAGAGAGAGAAGTAGAACAAGGAGGAGGAGGTGGAGGACTAAAAGGTAATTGCACCCCACTGCTCCATTATGGTGTCATGCCTCTGTTAACAGGAGATAAGATCTACTTAAAATCACCTGCAGCCAATTCTCCACTTTACTCGGTCGGGACCGAGAGAGCCAGAGGAAAAGACAAAGACGTGTCCGGCTCTGATTATCATGTGCAGAATTTAAAAGGCCATTCTGTAAGCGGTTTAAGAACAATTTGATGCCATGCGACACTTTACAGCCAGGTTGATGGATGCAAGGAGGACCGAGCACTTTCTCTGCCCCATGCAGCCTGACACCGCTCTTGATGAATGCAGTCCTGATCGACAGGCGGGATGTATGTCACTGGGTGCAGCGAACAGGGTCAGGGATACAGTTAACCGACTGACACAACACACGGTTCAACTAAACTGGTGCCTTTTGACCTGAACGCAGGAAAAAAAAAAAAAAAAAGAAGCTGTTAACATCCATCACAGTCAATCAGAAAGATCAGTGAAAAATACAATGAGCTTGTATTTTTCAAACTACTTTTAGTCGAGAAGAGATCTAAAAAAGTGGAAGCATTTAAAATCATTTGAGGGAGATTAAGCTTATTAGTCTTGCATCGAAACTATTCTAAAGTATTCACATTAATGATCTGGATTAATGCCTTGTCCAACATTCTAACACAAAATACTGCATAGTTATGATGTAAAAGAGAAAATAAGAGGAAATCTGAAAATTCTGGCATGAACTTGTTTCAGTGCATCGTCTGACAGAGAGTGTATCATCTAGAGCAGGGGTATGTAAAGTTTTTGTACAAAAAAAAAGATGGTAAGAAAAAAATTCACTACAAAAAGTGTTTGTTTTTTTTCCTTGCCTGCTTGATAAACTAAACATGCAATATCATCAGATCAAATATGTACCAAAAAAACCCAGTTTTGTACATTCTCTTATAAAATATATAATAATCCTGTCTGAAATTTTTTTTTAAATTGAACAATAGAAGAAATATTATCAGCAAAAAGAACACAATTTGTGTAACTGTCTTTGAAGAATTGACTATTAGCCAGTTTTAATAAAGCAGATTTGCGATCACCAAAGTCTGCCAAAGGTCGAATAAAACTAAACCTAAAGGAGGAAACGAAACACCCAGATTTTTAGGTTACAAAGTTCAGGCTCCTGTGAAGCATTTCAAGCATCTTATGGCAATGAATGTCTTTTACAGAAGCCAGATGGGGAGAAGCCGCCCAATAACGGGCTTCAGGTGCCCCCTACTGAGCATCACGAACGGATTAAAGGATTTGCAAAGCTCTGTCATAAGGCTGTCCATCACTGTCACACCTGCCTCGAATTTACAGTGCCGATGTCGTAACACACCGCTGTCCTGTTGTATAACTTCATCTGTCAAGTCATTCAGCTCCACATCAACACCTCGGATAATAAGACTGAGAGACGAGATTCAAATCCACGACATCAGATACTGCAGATACCCACAGCGGCTCTGCTCGCTCGCTCGCTGATGTTCGGGTTCAGGAATGTTGTTGCAATTCAATACAGCCAAAATCTGACTCCATTCATCAGTAAGTTTTCCACCTCTGATTTATTGCTGTGGTTTTACTGTATTCTTGAAGAAGAAGAAGAAGAAGATGATAAAAAAAAGGATTTCTTGTCTGTCTCTTCAAAAAAGAAAAAAAAAACTCTGAATAGAGCAGAACCTGATATTGTCTCCTGCATAAGAGACAATGCGGCCTCTCTGCAGGATGCAGCGCTGCGTCTCGTTTGGCACAGACGTGGAGACAGGCTGTCTGAATGTCAGACAAATCAGCTCTGCTTTAGGCCTGTTTACATGTATGTGAAACAATTTGTCAGTCTGTGCATCCTGGTGACCACGGCCATGACCTCTTCCCTTTAAAGCATGGTAATTACAGTTCAAGTTTAGCCTTTTTACACACTTTATTTATTTACTTTTTT